AATCACAGGATTTCACGAGTTTCCATTCATCCATTCATATGTATTTTTATTGAGCTGTACGCCCACACAGACCAGCACAGATGGAAGAAAGCTGCTGTACTGCAGAACGACTGATGGAATGCTAGACATGCAAACATGCCTGCCACCACATAGTTTACATAACACTTTATACACTTTTATACTAAGCAGGATGTATTAAGCGTAAATTATTATTATTATTAAGCGTTACTTCACATGACTAGTAGCTTTAACTCATATCTCACTGATCACTTTTAACTGATACCAAAAGAAAACTAAACATCAGAAAAGGACAATGTTAACAATCGGGAGTCCAACTAAAATTTAACTTTGTAAGATGGGACACCCTTTACCTGACTGTACAGTAGAATTGATCTGTAGTGCCTGGATTTAGTCAGGCTTGTTTCCCCCTCCCCTTTTTAGCATGCCACGTCAAACAACTACCAACCTTGAGTATTCCCTTTTTGCCCCCTTGTTCAGTTTTGAAACAAGACAAATATGGCCTATATTGCTTTTATTTTGAAGGAAAACTTAATTGACCCATTTTTGCTTGTGGTTTAAATAACAGCGGAAGAACAGATACAGGCTTTATCTGTTTTGCTTACACATGATCAACACCCTGCAGACATGTTTAGTTTAGAGCAGCACAACAAGAGGCAGTTTTTGTTGCTGAAATGGTTGCATCAAACTGTGGAGCTGTATGAAGTAACAACACATACATACGGTGCAGTAAAGCCGGAAAAAAGAACAGATTAAAATAAATGTAATGGAGTTTCATTTAAAGCAATCAGACACCATTTACTATGTTTACTAAAGAAGCTACCGGTTGCTGCATCTACATGCCCTGCCATTGGCGTTGATATGAATCTGTATATAATCTGTGACATGTTTTAAAAAAACAACCTTGGTTTAATCTTTAACATTTTTATGTTGTTGGTGGTTGGAGAATCTTTAAGCTGTGTTAGAAGTGTGTAATGCTTCAGCTGAAGTTGGTACTTGACGGAAAGGGGTGTTGCAAAGTTTTCACAAAACGTTCAGCATGCCACGTCATTCATCGTGTTTAAGGATGTGATGGTGCAGCTGTTGTTGCTGCTGCCGGTTCATTGTCTTAACAACTTAAAGGAAGAAACTGTCTATTGACTTTGTTTAGCCAATGACAGGAGCCAGCCTGGCGACAGTATTGCAAAGTAAGTTGATGCAGATGGATTTGCCCATAATTGGATTTATACCATTAAATCACAAAAGTAAACATGAACTTCTGCTCTGAAATCAGCAATTATAATTGCACACTTAAAAAATATACAAATATTTGGATATGGTGTATAAACATGTATTTATTTTATAACACTCACAAGGTACAGAAAATCCAGATGATGCATTAAAATTGATAATTTTTCAAATCATGTTGAGGGCATTGTGGGATTAAAAAGTTTTGCCACAGTCACGTTGCCCTAAATTCAAAACCCAAATAGGACAACTTAAAAAGTGTATTTAGGCTATAGATTTACATTACAAGGGGTTCAAATGGTGACCAATAATATAAATGGCTGTGATTTCAAAATAACGTCAGAGTAGATGTGTTTAGCCCCAGTTACATCCATTACTCTTCCATCAGCACATCAGATAAGCAGGGCATCGTCACAAAGAATTGGATTTCTTTCCGTTTGCAAGGGCAGCTTGTTTGCTGAATGTGCGAATCACATAGTAATAACCCACAATACACACACACACACCCCTAACCATCCACCAGCCCTCCATCCAAATGTCACCCTATATGCATAATGACCCCCCCCCACAATCCCCACCCAAATAACTCTGCCTGCCCCAGTCTGCTGGCAATAGAGACCCCATCACACCTCGTCCAACCACACACACACTCGCACACACACCGAGGCCTCCTCCTGAATGAAACTGCGTGGTAATCAGAAGGAGTGGGTGAATCGATGGACTGCGCTCCTTGAAAGGAGTATGTGGGACGGGGGGAAGGGGAGATTGGAGGGCGGCGTGAAGCTCAAATTGATGTGAGGTCGCTGAAAATGAAGATAGTGGCGTGAGACAAAAGGGAAGGCGGGTGCAGGCATGGAGAGCAGAGCAGAGGGGAGGGAGGCAAATTGATTTGTCTGGGGGATGGAATGAGCCAGGGGAGAGAGAAGAAGGGGTGAATAAATGAAGGAAGGGGGAAGAAGAGGTAAAAATGAAGCTGGTGGAATAAATTGGAAAAGTAACACATTCTGCTGGGGGGCTATAGTACCATACATGCCCCCATAGTATCTCTGGAATGCCTCAAACAAAAGCTGCTCCTGTGTTTTGTTTTGTTTTTGGTTTCAGATTTTGGTGTTTTGTTTCTGTTCAGAAATCACCAAGGTTCGACCCTCGATGGTCAATTGATTTATCTTAACAGTCTGTTATCGCAGTTTGTACATACTGTGTATGCTACCCCTCGGTAATATCATCCACAAATACAATGTACAGTTCCACTGTTATGCCGATGACACACCGCTCTGTATCCCAGTCAGACCGGGCTAACCTTTCAGAAATGCCTTGCTAAAATAAATTACTGGATGTCACACAACGTTCTACAATTACTAAATCTTACAAAATTGTCCTCTGCTCATAAAATATAAATCATGGCAAACCTAGGTGACCTAGCAACTTATGCTAAGCCCATGGCCAGAAATGTTGGGATAGTTTCTGACCAGGACATGTGTTTTGAACCCCACATAAAGAAAGTTGTGTGTTTATCATTTAAGAAATATAGATTATTTTATTACAGCCACAGATTTGGAGAATCATCTATGCTTTTATCTCTTCCCTCCTTGGCTATTTGCTATATACCTGTCTCAGTTAGATAAAAAATTAATTGCCTACAATTAGTCCAAAGTGGGCAGAAGTTGGCAAACAAGACAGTTAAAAGCAGACATTTAAAATAATACTGTTCACATTTAATTTGTGCTTGCTTTCATGGTAGACAGGCCTGAAGGAAACTGAAGTGTGACTGTGAGCATCTCATGCTTCCTGTTCTTTCTTATTTCCTTGTTCCTCATGTCATCTCCACGACGGATGAAAAGTTCAGGCTAGTTTGTTTCCGTGGGTTATTTCTGTTTCCACTCAGTGCTCGGAGGAGAGCAGGTGGTGGCATTAGAGGTTGATGTTTATGCTGCAAGACCTCAGACCAGGTTCAGGAAGGGTCAGCCTGAGAGTCTCCATTTTTTATATATATATTTTTAGAAAAGTGAAGAGTTGAAGGAAAAAAGAAACCACATTAGTAGATCTGAGTACAAAGTACGTTTTCTGGAGCAAATCTGCTTTTGTAATGTGCTGCGCATTAGGAACATGCCAGTCACAATCTTTTATCGATTAAGCATGTTAAGTCATTTTGTTAATTTGTCTTCATAAATAATATATTCATTTATAGATAATGAATGTGACATTTTGTTGCATTTCAACAGTGTAATATACTATTACTTGACTGCATGATATTTTAATACCATTTCTGCAAGTATTTTATGGTATTTAGCAAGTTCTTTGGTTTTTCCACCCATCTTGTTCTACCATGTTCCTTGAAAGCTACATCCTTTTTGAATTTTAAGGCCTCTTGGGGTTGGCCAGGCAAAATAGTAAATATTCAGGCCTGTGTAAAACTCTGTGAATACAGGTTGAGGATGACATACAGTTCCAAGCATCTAAAATTTTAGTTTTTCTCAGTGATTGTTCACTTTTTATTCCTGCTGCTTTGGCCTCCGATCACCTCTCCGAGTAGTGAGGATACAGTGATTTGTTAACAAACTGTGAATGCTTAGCTCCAGCTCATGTGTATCTGCAGAGTGTTGAGTGTTCAGGGCAGATCGATGTGCCGATGTCGCCTCATGTCGTACAGCAACATGTGTTTAGCACCAGTGACCACAGCCACACATGAATGTGAGGAATGCAGACTGTGACGGGTCAGATGAGATTCATAGGTGGCTTGGTTACACTCACTTTTCACCTTTGGGTGTCTGGCACCAGGCTGCAGTCACATGATTGCAGGACCAGAGTCATAATGTCACAAGGTGTTTGTTGGTCACGCTGATGTTATGACCATGTGAAGGGAAATACTAGCTCTTTCACTCATTTATCATCTGTGTATAAATATGTTAACCACTACTGATGCCAATACATATGTTGATGCTGTTTATGAACACTGAATGCAAAAATAATGACAAGAGACAGAAACTGTCGAATTCAGACACCATTTATTCATTTAAAGGATAAAACTGGTATTATCGGTTTTGTCATTGTGTATGTTTATTATATTGTAAAGACATTAAAGCTTCAGACTTTAATGCTCATTTCCAATTTATTGCCCAGATCCGATTTTCTTGAATGACTAGTTCACAGAATTTTTTAATTGTGGCCCAAATGAGACTTCAGTGTGAACTGGCCTCGGCCTGAAAGTGACCTGCATGTGCAACAGAATAATATGACGTCACATGTAGCAAACTGTCATACGGAAGTAAACATGGAGGTCACGGAGGCTTTTATTTTTAGCAAATTATGACAAGGACAAAGAGAAAGAGAAAGAGAATTCGTCGGACTACCTCCATCGCTGCCGTCCTCCATGTTTGAGTTGACTTGGGTTGACTCCCACTAACGCAGAATTGTGATCTCTCTAGAGTAACGTCTGCATCACATTTTTAAAAATCCGTCATTTATGTGTTTTGGGCCACATATGAAAACATTTTTGGGTCATTTTAGCCTACAGTTGGATCGCGGCCTAATTGTCCTAAATTTTCTTAATTCCTCAATTCTCAGATTTTCTCATCTTTCCTGTACATCAAGTTGTAGTTCAGTATGGCGGAAAGAATAAGTTTAATTGAACATAGTGCATTTACAAAGGCCAACTAGAAAACAGTGTTAGGTATTGTATGGCAAATGTCATTAGATGGCCCGGTGTTAATTATACTGGTATTTATCAGTCTCCTTCTCTCTCTCTGTTTCCACAGCATACCTCGCTGTCGGCCAGCCGCTCAGAGAAGAGCACCGGCTGGTCGAGCCGCTCGCTTGGTGCCCGATGTCGTAACTCCATCGCCTTGTGTTCAGATGAGCAGCCACACATTGGAAACTACCGGCTACTCAAAACCATTGGCAAGGGCAACTTTGCCAAGGTCAAGCTGGCACGACACATACTGACCGGCAAAGAGGTAGGAGACCGTGTACTGCAAGAACTCTTCGCGACTGCACTGGAAGTATCAGTAGAGCCATGCATGCTGGGGCTGAAGGAAAAGAGTTGATGAGTTGAAGCAGACTCCAGGGTAAATACTGTACAGGGCTTTGGGATCCAGAACAGAGCAGAACTTGTGACTCAGCCCACAGATGGAGTTTTAGAGGGATGTTCTACTGAGTTCAGAGCAGCTTCTGTTTAAACCCAGCCAAAACTGTCTCGTCTCTCAGCCCAGTCGAGGCCCGTAAACCCTTTGAAGAGACACAGTCATGCTTTTCTTTTGTGTGGGTCTATGCCTGTGTTTAAATACACTGTAGTCTTTCTTCTGGTAAAAATCCATGACCTACATTAGTTGAGTTGTTAACTCCATGAGGCTCAGTAGAAACTGTGTGTCTGCCGCTGGCTCGATCATGTGAGGGCTGTTGGGTTTCAACCATATAATGCAGAATACTTTCATATTGTGTAGTTTACAGTAATGGTGTGACGCAGTCTTTGACCTGGTCACCACATGTTGTTAAGCCTCTTGTGAAACCTCGCTGGTTTGTCTGGTGGATATCTGCTTCTGGGTTCTTTACATGCTGTGAAACACTGTGTGTTTTGAACTGTTTTGTTCTCACAACAGAGTGGTTTGATTTGGATTGATTTTTTTTTCTTTTTATTCAACCTTGTGGTTAATGTTAATGCGAAAATGTGTTTTCTTTTAATGCATGGTTTAAATAGTCCAAAAACTGGACTGTGTTCAGTAACCCCTGGTCTGATAAAGATTAAAACAGCCTTATGCAGTTTGCAAACCTAAGTACTTCATAATAAATACAATAAGAGCTGGAATGATTTTTTTATTCATTGATAAAAAAAATTATTCAGCAACTATTTTTCTATATTAATCGCAAAATATTACAACTACAGAACATTGGTCTATGCAGGGGTTGACTAATAAGTCTGGCTTCGGGACAAATGAGATGTTAATCAGAGCATCCCCATTGGTTATTCAGTAGAATGAGTCCAATGTGGGACAAAAGTACTTGTAACTGTACGTTTGTTTTGTACATGTCGATCAATACCTGTAAACTTTGGGTTCTTCAGATATTCAGATACACATTCAAACCTTTCCACACAGCTACAATACTTTGGGACAGTATTTTTTCCATGGGGCCAGAACACAGTCAGAATATTTCAAATCCTAACATTACTCGTATGCACGTTTAGCACAGTCGGTAGTGTGTGGGAATCCCATCGGGAGAGTTGTATGATTGATCCAAACATAAGGTGGATAACTTTTGGACATGCTCACTGCGCGTCTGGCGTTTGATCCGCATTCATAAACCTATGGACGCTCATGTTCTAATGAAATTCAGGGGTATCCAATCACACGTTTACTGACAGCTCTTTCCAAGGTGTGTCAAGCAGGCCAGAGACTGTCCTTCAGAACTTTTCAAAGAATTGCTGCAAAAAACGTTCCTGGGCTTTTGTTTTGGAGGCACAATCACTTAAGAGGAAGTGATTATGTAACTGTAGCTGTCATGACTGAGATCTATTTCAGCACCAGCCACTATAGATTAATTTATTTTTTATTTTTCTGCTATCAAAACAATGTGGCAACAGGGCGGCCCCCGGGCCAGAATTGGGCCGCCGGCAATAATATCTGGCCCGCTGGCCGCCTATTGCCGACCACTGGGCTATAGGAATCTTATAAACCAAACAGTTAATTGAGAAAATGATCTGCAGCAGATTAATAGTTTGTAAATCAACCAGAAAAGATATTTAAGTTATATTTATTTTATTTAGATTGTGTCAGGCCATATTTCCTGTAGTGTGGAATTAATGTTTTCTTTGTTAGATCATTTTTGTTAATTTGTTTTTGTTTTCTCCCAGGTTGCAATAAAAATCATCGATAAAACACAACTTAACCCAACCAGCCTACAGAAGGTGAGTGACACGTTAGTGTGTGTGTGTGTGTGTGTGTGTGTGTGTGTGTGTGTGTAGAACCATAAAATGCACACACACAAATGTTCATTGTTCTGTATTTGTTTAGTGGCGACGTCCGAGCTGATGGGGTTTCAGCTTACATCCAACTCATAGGTTGATCCTGTAATTTTCTATAAGCAGAAAACTGCTTATGCTACCATATCTACTTAACCTGCATAGCTGCCAATATGACCCTGTTTGTCCTCTTATTTTAGGGGTTTAACAGTTAGTGTGTGTGTTTATTTGTATTTGTGTTGCATCAGGAGCAGTCACTGAGCACATTAGCGTCTGCACATGTTGTTTTGGCTTAGATTGTAACTCTGTCGTGTGAACTTTGACCTTTTGGTTGTTATGTGAAACTTAAGTGTTGGGGATGCTGTTATTGGCTGCAGGTTAAGAGCTAAAAAGAACTGCATTATTTTAGGACTTGTTAAATGTTGAGACAACAAAGTTAGTTGTACACAAGTTGTTTCAGTGAAAATGCCTCCTTTCAATTTTGATGAAGCACTTGTTTGATTTTTAAATCTTTTGTGATTATTTTTGTAATATAACAGCGAAGCATGAGTTATGCAATGTGTAAGTATTAATGAACCTTTATTTGTCCACTCAATCCCCTGGAAGTAACTAGGTTAGAGGCTTGGAGTAATGTACGTCACTGTACGCTTGTCTAGTGAGTGACATGTAAGATCATGTATTAACTACATGTGTTGCATTCGTGGCCCTAATGAGATTAAGCTCTCTCCTGTCTGAACTTGGCTTGTGTGTGTGTGTGTGTGTGTGATGCTTGTGTTAATTGAGAGCGATCTAATGAAACTAAACAGCCTCAGGTCTGCACACTGTTCTCAAGCAATTCAATTTGCAGTGTTTTCTCTTCTGGCTCTGAAAGCAGAATTGAAATGTTGCTGGCTGTGCTGTCTGTAATAAATAAATGCTTTATAGGGGTATAATTTATTTTTATTTTCTGTGTATGCTTTCTCTTCTTTGTCTCATATGGAAAACCTTAAGACTGCAAATTGTGATTTGTTTTCATGCTGTCAATGCAGTTGAAGAAAATCTTGCATTAGTGGAGTACACCGTCATGATTGTAGTGTTACAACATCTCTGGCTGAGCCAGCATTAGTGTAAAATGAAGATAAATATTTCCTAAAGCTGTAGCATCTAACATTTTTATTGATTTAGCTGACTTACATTTGCTGTTTATATCAGAGGTCGCGCGCCTCTGGAGCAACTAGGGGTTAAGTGCCTTGCTCGGGGAGACATTGGTGAATGTGTCACAGTGGGGGCATTTTTTTTATAAATGAATGAAATAGAAAAATACATTGCGTCATGCTGTCGATTTCAGAACATGACTGGTGTTTAAGGGAGAATAGGGTACAGGTTGTCAGAAGTGAGGCCATTCAACTGGGTTATACTCTACAGTTTAGCAATATATACTGCTCGCCAGTAATGCTTTCAGATTAGGTGTGCTGTCATTTAGAATAATCTATCAGCCTCGTGAGTCAAGTATTGTTATTATCTCAAAACACCAGATATCTGCCCGATTAATCAGTCTATCACTAGTGTTCAGAATTAAATCTTTAGAGAGATACATTTCCTAAAACTCTGGCGTCTTCCAATGGAGAAAGACAGATTCACTCACATCAGCTAAAGGTGTAGATACCAAAACAGTTGTCAGTTAAGCTGTACAAACATAAAGAGCTCAGATATTGGTTACATCCTATTACAAGTATGGGTGTATTATTGGGACCAGTTGATACCATGATATCAACAAAGAAAAGCAGAACATACTAACGTTGTTGTTGTTGTTGATCTTTTGCATGTTTTGTTTTGAGAACTGACCCAAACAATTATCGAAGTAGTTACTGATTATTTTTGTTAATTAACAAATTGTTTAGCACCAGATCTCTGTCTTCTTCGCTCTTTATCATCATCATCATCGCTGAGAGAGAGTTTTAACCTTGTGTGTAGTTTGTGTGAAAGACTGTGTTCTCACAGTTCATACAAATCACTCTTTGTTCAGCAGCGGCTCTGCTGACCTTACTTTGGCCATGTGTGATTGTGACTTTTCTTTATCAGCACCTTCACAGCAACAAATACACTCTCTCGCATTATCGAGATCGATGCTGCATCCCGCACGCGGCTAGCCTATTGATGAATTCTCAGCGGGTTAGCTAACCAGTTCAGGCTGTTATATGACTTTATTGATAACACAGCGTTGGTATATTGGTGGTGTCTGGCTCTGTGCAGCAGTTGGTCCACTTGGCCTAGTTACTGGATTCATCACTCTGCTCCTCTTAATGTTAACGTCAACACAAAATGAAAACAAAAAGACACATGCTTTGTTAGTCAAAGCTAAATATGATATACACTTGCGTAACTAAAGATGGCAATAAGAGTTGTTTAACATATTCTCCTGTATAAATCCAGTTATTTTAGTTCTTATGCAACTTCACAGTTCTCTAAAGGGAATGGGGCCCAGTCCTTTTTAATAGAAACCATGGCTGTATCTCTGCAGTTCACATGTTTTTAACAAGTGTTAACATGTTTGTTATGGTGCAGCACAGCCTCTTTTAAACAGCTCCTCCCTTTTTTTTCTCGTTTCACGTGGAGATAACATCAGATAACAGCATGAACATGACATCTCTCTGTGACTTAAAGCAAGAGGATGCAGAAGGAGTAAGTTGTTTTTTTCCCCCAACCAGACATTCCCACCCTGGATGGAATTTGAACCAGTTGAATCAGTTTCAGTTTAGTCTGACATCTGAGCAAATCATCTGCGATTGAAACCCTAAGACTAAACCAGGCAAACAAAACAACCTGTCTTACAAAAATTGAATAAATGGCCTAAAAAGCTTCTTAAGTATTAACAGATTCAGATATGCAGCATTTGCATACTAAACTTCTAACATCTAACTAATAACAACAGAGCATCATTGTGAAGAACCTTAAACAATAACAAATCCAACAGCTCTTGATTTGTTTGTAGCTCTTGAATAAACACAAGTGGATAAGGAAGGGGAAAAAATGTTCTAATCTTTTTTTATTTATTTATTTTCCTGGCTGGAAAATGTTCAGACCGTATCCGATAGTAGCTGTGAAATCTAAACCTTTTTGGCAACTGCAGTTCTATTTTAACACATTTCAACCCAGTATGGATTCTTGTCAGGAAACGGATGGATAGATACTGACTGATGCAATGCAACATTGCACGCGTGATAAAGAATGGAAGTGTTCATTGCCAAAAGGCTGCATATCAGTTTTGAGACTACCAGCGGCTGCCATTGATCATTTTGTATCTCAGAAATATACAAAACCTTTTGGCCGTCTTCATGTCACGAAACCCATTTTGCAGAAATGCTCTACACTTCACAGCACCGTTAACATTCAGTGTGTTATCACCACCTGATGAACTGTTGACTCTTGTTGTCTGTATCTTTGTGTGTGTGTGGTTGTCCAGCTGTGGGAATACAAACTCCTCCTGTGCTGAACAGCGCTCACTATCTTTTTCTCAGAACATTATTTGCCTTCTGTTCCAACCGTGAGATGCCTACTTAATTACACCATGAATCTGCTCTTCAAAGACCTTGTTTTTAACGAGGCTACAGTGACGTGCGTGCGTTCGTGCGTGTGTGTGTTCTGCAGCAGCGTGGTTGTAGTGCTGCATAGCGTAGCGCTGGGGCTGCCAGTTGTGTCCCGTCAGCGTTATTGTAGTTTGTGTAGGACACTATGAATGCAGCCAGGTGACACTTTGTCAGTGCCTGTCTATCACATAACACCTCTTTCCCGCTTTCTTTTTAATCTATAAACTAGAGCTGAAACTTAGATTTAATTTTATTTCAATTTAATTACTCACTGGATGGTTTAATCTAAAAAAAAAAAATAATAAAAAAGTCTGCCTTTTTGTATTAGGAGTTAATTTCCCAAACACTATTCTACATCATATTTTAATTTCCTTTAAAATCCTTTAATAATTTATTTTGATTTGGCACCATCTTTTAAATGACATGATTTGTCCAAAAAATAATTCTTTTTATAAGATATTCATCAGAGAAAAGCAGAAAATCCTCTTATTTTAGCAACTGCAACAGTAAATGCGTGGCAGTTTCGCTTGATATCAACTCAAACAACTAATCAAATACAGTAATTGTTGCCAATTAATTCTCTGTTGATCTACTAATTAATCGACTTATCATAATATATAAAAGCTAGAATAGAAGCTTTCTCCTCACGTTGTCATGCAATGAATTGTATTTGCTGATTAAATGACTGTGGCTTTAAACTGCCGGCTCACTCTGGATCAGTAATTTACACGTGAGGCTGGACATTTGTAAATACTTTTGTTGTTGTGGTCATTAGCTAATCCTCCTCCTTTTTCGTCTTTGGATGAAAACATGAAATAAGGGCAGCATTAGCTGACACTGAAGTGTATTTGTGCAACATTAATCAGACTTTTGTCTTTCATGGGAGTTTGATTTATTTGCTTCAGTGTTCCTAATGGAAATGCACATAATTACCATTTTAATTTTCTCAACATTAATATTCCAAAGACATTCTGTCAACTCTCTAATTCTTTGTGCAGAAGCTCTCTTCTTGCTCTCTTTCTCTTCACACTCTGTTACGCCTCAGTCTATATTCTGTCAGCTTCATCTGTGTTGTAGCTTTATGCCCATTTTTCTCCCTCTCCCTTCTCTTTATTAACTCTATTTTGTTCTCTTTACTGTAGCTCTGTGTCCCACTTCTCTCTCATTTCCCCCCGGGTGTTGTGTTGCAGTAGTAGCTCAACTGTAATCACAGTTCTACTCTCTACCGTCTGTAGCACTGCACTATATCTTCACAGCCAGTTAAAAATAGAGACACACGGTTATAAACAGCAGCAACATACAGATATAAAACACTACATACAGTCCCCATAAATACAATCATATTTCAGGGACACACCAACTTTGAGGTTTCTAGAGAAC